CGACGAAATCATGTTTTGGAAGGACTTGGGAAGTAGCCATTACGCTAAGAAAACGTTGGATTGGCTCACAGAAAACAATATACCTTTTGTTCCGAAAAAGGACAACCCTCCGAATATCCCAAAGCCACGTCCAATCGAAGACTTCTTAAGAGTAAATATGGTGTACGAAAAAGGCTAAGAGGCTAAAAATGAGCAATAGTTGATTGGAAGGATTACGCGAAAGATAAGGGAAATGGATAAATCGGTCTGCCAGAACATGATAAAGAAAGTTCCATACATCCTTAGAAAAATCGAGGATAATGGTCCATATGGTGTGGTATAAAAAGAATTTTTAGAAGACAATAATCGTAGTAACTTATTTTGAAAGCGCAGTTTGAAATACTATGGTTATTTTAAAAGGGGTGGACGATGCATTTTGTGCCAAAACTTATGAGATAGAGCTTAGCTCATCGTTGTTGTGATTTCAAGTGGCCACCAAAATTAGATTTTAGGCGATAGAAAAATACACAAAAAATGTGTGTGGTAGCGACATATTTGTCCCAGCAGCAAATTTTTAGGCGCAGTAGAAATCACAGCACTGATGAACTAAGGTTTGTGACTTACGGCTGTAAGGGTGCGTTTATGTTGGAGCTGCGATAAGAGCGAAGACAAGAGCTGAGATAATAGCTGGGAAAATTTTAAATAGGTTCCTCGTGTATGTGTTTTTGTTGGAACTGCGATAATAGCACAGAATATTATCGGGCCGATTCTGAACAGAAACTCCCTGGGAGTTTTCTCTATTTTTCCTTTCCTCCTATCATGAATAAAAATTCCCTGCCGATTTTTTATATTAAATGGCGGAGTTGAGCTGTCAAAAAGTGTCAGCTTTTCAAAACAGCTTTTTCAAAGTTCGAATTTCCTCCTCCCAAATTTTCGGGGAAAACGCTACTCCCTTGGAGTTAATTATTGGAGGATTTCTTTCTCGGGAGAAACAAATTCCCGCAGAACGAACTCCCCGGGAATATTAACAATTGGGCTGCATAAATGGGAGACACGTATATATATTCATGTTGGAGCGGCTGTACGAGCTACGATGCGAGCTGCGATAATAGCAGAGAAAATTGTAAATGGTAATCACGTGCATCCGTTCATGTTGGAGCAGAGCTGAAAACAAAGACTAACGATAAGAGCGAAGAAAATCGTTGATAAAATTTTCTTCACTCTAGTCGCGTTGATCAACCTGAACACGGAGGAGGTGATTAGCGAAATTTTCGCAAGGCCTTCTATATTGGACCAAAAAGGCTATACCATTTTATTTTTAGTTTTACTACAATTGAATTCGAAAGTTTATGTAAAGTATTACCAAATAAAAAACTTACAACTTACCTTATGGTTATCATTAATCGCACCTCAGGAAAAATTGGTCTGCTATAAGTAGATATAATTGACCTTTTTTAGTTTTTCTTCAATTTTTGATAATATATAATCCCTAGTTTCAGAGATTCATTCGCATGTACTCCGAAAACCTCACTGCGTCCCGTCTTAAATTGTCATACAAATTATGAAACTCGTCAAATATTTGCCTTTCCTCATAAAGGGGGTGTGCACAAAATTTGTGGGTTTCCCGTGGACTTTTAAATAAATTATAAAAAGCATTTGAAGACAAAAACAATTCAAACTAAAACCACACTGATATACACTATTATCGCAGCTTCAACGTAAACAGCACATCGAAGCGTAGTTCTATGCTATGCTCTAGTCGGTGCTCTCTAAGCTATCTTAGCTTGCAACGCTGCTCCAACCTAAGCACCACATCAGAGCGTAGATTTAGCACTATGCTCTATTCGCAGCTCTCTTCGCCACCTTCGCTTTTATCGCAGCCCTAACATAATCGCACCCTAAGTTACAGTCTTATAGGTACGCAAAAGTCAAGTCAAGATTTTGGGGATGTTTGACAAAGTTTGTATTTCAATTCTTGCTTTCTCGAAAGACCTACCAGAAAATTTACATAACTTTCCTGGATATATGCTTTACTCTTTTTTGTACCACCGTGTAATAGCCTAATTATAGCAGCAGATGTCCACAAAACACTCAAAAACATCGCCTGAGCTTTGAAAATGGGTGAAATTTTCTTGGTACTTTTAAATTTTGATTGACTCTATGTTTAATTAGTGATGCTGTAATTAAAGCAAGAGGCGGCTCTGCGGAGTCCTACTTTCGATTGAAAATAAATATCATAATCATATTTAATATTCCTTACAAAAAATGTTTATCCCATTTTAAAACAGTGAGGCTAAGACTTAAGGCCCATCTACATACAACTTTGGGGTTGCGTTGTCGTTGACGTCGCTTCGACAGCAGCGTGAGTAACACCAGTTCTTGCTACAATGAACGCTTAGCAGCGAATACTTTGGCCAGTAAATTAACATACTAGCGAGAGATAAATTAATATTTCATATCAATAATTGCATTAAAAACGATATTTCTTGCCAGCATTTGGTTAAAAACGAAAAATATTTCATATAGTTTTAATTATTTGCAACAGCTGACGAACAACGCACTCGAAAAGTTAAGAGTTGGCATTCTTTCTGCATTGCGTTGGCGTTAACGTTCCCAAATTTTGGCTATGTGGACGGCTGCATTTGAATTCATGTATTCATAGTCACCTGTTGAAGCGACGCCAGCGCCAACGCAACGCCAAAGCTGTACATACATAGATGGGCCTTTATTATTTTTTGAATGCACTAACGTTGCAGTGTATGCTGAGACTTCACACTGACCTAGATCTAGGGATGCAAACGATGTTTTTTTTAAGGATTATGCTTTCAGATAGCAATATACCGAACACCGATGTTCCTTTTCTGCATTATCAAAGTGTTCAAATTAGCAAATCAAAGCCCAGAAGCGTTGTGTGGACTTACTTCAATAAAATTTCGTCGACAGAACCGGAATTCAAAATTAGTCGCAAATACAATACATTCATGTCGAAACAGATTGCAAGGAAAAATACTGTCCAAATTATTATTCCTGAATTCTTTACAAAATGAGAGACAATCCATGGATGTTATTTTGAACGATGCATCGAATAACCGATGTTTTATTTAAACAAAACAAACTATGTTTTTTTCTTCGATGTTGCATCCCTACCTAGAACACATGCACCAAGAATTTATATGTATATTTACTTTTTCTATTATCGGAAATGTATATGTACACAGATTGTCCATTTATGGCGGTCATGGCTAATGTGACCACCCGTACTTCTTTCGGAAGTACAGTACTTCTTTTTTCGCTCTTGTACTTCGTACTTCGAAGTACAGTCAAATGTACTTCTTTACGATATTTGGTACTTCGGGAGGGAGATTCTGTAACCAGTTAGCGACAATTTTCGGATCGCTATCGCACTTTTTGACGCATGATATAACTGTTTTTGCGTCAAAAAATTGTCGCTAACTGGTTACAGAATCTCCCCCAGGTTCTGTTCTTCTCCGTTCTTCTGGACATTCATCACATGGCCTGGGCGATAAATTGGTTCAAACCATTAAAGTCGCGGGGTACCGATGACATCATATCTGCGCAGCTGCAAAGGGCACTGAAGGTGTCGTGCAATTTGTTGGATCCATGCATGAGGACCGGGTATGTCCCCAAGGCTTGGAGGGTAGTCAGTGTTGCGTGCATCCCGTAGGCCGGGAAAGGTTATCATGTTTCTCCTAGGGATTTTAGGCCTATCAGTCACTGTCTTTCAAGAGCTCAATATGCTTATTGCAAGAAAAGGTCGGTGAATACCGTCCTGCATACAGTGGTAAAGTCGTCAGAGGAAGCCTTCACGGAGGAAGTTTATGCAGTAGGGACCTCTTCGATATCGAGGGGGCCTTCAACAATGTCACTCCAGAGGCAATAATCAAGTATATTCATAATCTGGGGGTTGAAGCCAACCTAATAAGCTTACTTTATAACAGAACTGTCGCGACGGAGTGGGGAAGTCAATGGGAGCACTCCGAAAGGTGGTGTTCTCTCTCCCCTGCCCTGGATTGGTGTTGTAAACGACCTTCTAGAGGAACTGCAAAAGTGGGCTGTCGAGTGATAGCCTATGTAGATGATGGGGAACTTTTGGTTAAGGGACGATTTCTATACACCCTTTTTGATCTAGCTCAAGGTTTCCTGAACCAGGTAACTAGGTGGGCGATCAACGGCGTAGAAGCCTTACATTGAGGAAAGGTTACAAAAGGTGCGATTGGTATTTATGTTGTGAGAATAGAAACTGACTAGAGACTGATCCTTTTGTATAAGCTGTCAAGAGGAAGTTGAAGTGGAATCATCTCCACACTTTCTTTTAGACTGTCCAACCTTCGCGAGGCTTAGATGGAAACATTTTGGCTCGCACTTTTGAACAAACACTGAGCTCTCAGGGATCAAAATTAGCCACATTCGAAATTTCGTAATCGGCTCGCGGCGTTAACTTAACCCAACCTAACCTGTACTTCTTTGAGCTATGAAATAGTTGGTCACATTAGTCATGGCGTATGCTAAGTAAAACAAAACAACAGTGAATTTGTTAACATTCAACTTTTTGATAAGAAACATGGTTCAGTTTTGTTAAATTGCAAAAATATATGATTTATAAAAGGAACAAAGGTTAAAAAACGTTGGCTCGCGGGAACGCGTTGTTTAATTTTACTCGATAATTGTCAAAATCGTCAAAATCAAAGTAGCGGTACCACTCACGATGCAAACAATGCATGAACAAAAGTGGCGCATTCCGCAAACCGAAACTTTAAATGTACTGAAATGGACCAATTCTTTTACAAAAAATAACCATTTTTCACATTTTGTTTATTAATTCTTTTTATAAATCATATACATATTTTTATAATTTAACACAATTAACCCACAGTTCCTATCGAAAAATTTAATATTAAGAAAACTAACTGTTTGACAGTTTATTTTATCCCTTTATTCGGCTTTGTTTACCTTTGCGCAATCTTGTATTCTATGATCTCTGCATCGCACTAAACACATACCTGTACGATCTTTCATTATGCTTTGTGCATAAGCATTCAGTATAATGGGCATTTCATCGAACTTTAAACGACTATCCAAATTGTTGTAGCTAGAAATGGTTAAGTTTGGGTTGGACGCAGTCATCTGTGAAATGCGTTTGTATTGGCGCACATGCGTTATAGCAGCCGACCATTTTTGCCCCTCGATAAGTTCTTGTAGTGTTACTTCGAATTCCTCGCTAGTCATGGGTATGCCTGGCGAAGGAGTGGGAGTGTGTTCGCCTTCGGTGGATGTCGATGCTGCCTCGAAACATTCGAGCTCCGCCTCACTGACGCTGCGTACCAAGGCGTCGCGCACTAATGCATATAAATCGGATATGTCGTGCATCTGTAAGCCAATGCAAATCAAATGATATCACCGCACAGATAAATACATTTTTTTGTTTCAAATCTATCCGGATGCTCACCTTTTCGTTGATTCTGAAATGATTAACAACATTGGAGGATATTTTGTGGTTTGACTCTATTAGAAGCAGTAATTGAAACATCAATTTATATAATGCGCGACCCAGATCTAGTACCACTTCGGAGGAGGCCGGGTCGAAGGTCATGTAACCAAAATTGGCGCTGCTTGTTAACTCCATACCAGATGCAGCCACATCCGCTTCATTGAAGAGTGACAATTTGCATGACGTTTTAACTGCGTCCAGGCACTGGAAGCAAGTAACTTGCATTGGAATTGTAATTATTTAAAATATGTATATAGTTTCCACTTACCTCCAACACTTGATCCTTGCGGTCGAAGAAAGTTTCCAAGTGCTCCTGCACTTCTAACACATTAAATCGCAGTGTTTCAAATAGCCGGGGTGTAGTTGTCTGCGTATCACTACACCATACGCGTGGTGGATCAGCGCGCGAGCTAAGTAAATCAGTGAATAGCGATATGCGATTGCCTAGTTGCGAACCAATACCGGTGAAGAATTTCTTGGCCTCCTTTGATATGCTAATCGTCTTGAAAGTCAGCTCCTTTATAAGTCGATAAAGCTGCATTAGAAGCTCAGATGTATGCGCCGAGGGCTGATTGATCAACATCGACTGTAGCTGCTTGCGCCAGTTCTCCTCAGCTTCATCGCGTATGGGTGCACCGAAGCGTATAATACCTGGCAAATGAGGCGACGCATTACATGGTGTTATGTCACCCAAGTCGCCTGCACTGGAACCACTTGTATCGCTGCGAGAAACAGAGTTACGACGACGCCGTTCACGTAGGCTAAGGGAGGTGGGAGGACCCACATTGTACCCCGACTTCATGAATGCCTGGCGATGGTCTTCGTCAATAGGCGATTCGGATTCGCCATCCTCGTCAGATGAATCGTCTGCAGTTTGTCGACGTCTTTTGCTTAATATAGGCGTCTTCTCACTGAAGCTGTCCTCGAGCGCAGATGAATGACCACCTTTGATCGAACCACCGCCGATACCGCTGCCACAGGTCAAGCGCTCTTCCTCACCTTCGAATAGCTGATGACGTCTTACGCCCCAATTGAAGTTGTCTGTCGACTCGCCGGCAATGCTGTCCTCGTATTCAAGAAAATCAAAGTCTTTGAAGACGGTAAAATCAGGCTGGCCATCATCACGGCGCGAGCCACTACTCAGATCACCCTGCGGACCAGAGGTCTCTTCTGTAGAAGATGCAGCGGAAGACTGGCGTTCCATAAGATCGGATGATTGGCTGAAAATCACCTGCACGGAAAGACACAAAAATTTATAAGATAAGATAATATAAGATTTTTGTAAAAAACGTCTTTTAGTTTCAACACAAAGAGAAAAGTTGCAGATACAAATGCGCAGGTGCATATGTATATGTGTGAAGCCTACGCTGCGCAATTAAAGCAATGGAAATTATTTCACAAATATTTTAAGACAGCAAAATTAAATTAAAAACGAAAACGAACGCTTACGCTTTGTCTGGTTACAATGGATCCCGTTAAGATCGATGTGCTCAGAGACTGCTATTTGCAATAATTGCGGAAAGTGTAAGCAAAGATGAGTACAACAAAAACGAAAATAGAAACACAAAAATCATGTTTAAATTTAATTAAAATATTTCAGATAAAATCAAGTAATATTCGACAGCGTGGGCAAATTAAATAATGCATATGTATATGTACATAATATATTTACCACAAAGCCTTTCCTTGCGCGCTTAAAAATATGTAAACATGGCTTTAACCTAATAGTGAGCGAGTATAAGAAAACCAAACTGGACGCAAAATGTCCAGTTCTGCATCAACATATTGACAAGAGAAAGGTTTGTCAAGGGCCATTATATCACTTTTATTTCAACATATTTTGATTAAAAGAAAAATACTGATAAAAATAAAATATTTCACACAAACAACAAAAAATATAATCGATAATCGCATGAGGCTATTGTCTGAAAATTTTAAAATGCGCATAGTGGCATTAGCACGGCCGAGTAATCATAGTCAACTTATGTACGGTAGTCGAACAAATTATAGCCGCACCAAGTTTTAAAATATTATTTTTGCTGTTATTTAATTTTGGTTAGTTTTTTATAGTTCGTTCTTTAAAAACATCCGTATAAATACAAGTTTAAAGGCAGTGTCACACGATGGGGTATTTGCCAAAATTTGGTTCAAATCATATCCCAATTGTGTGAACACCCAAAATATTTTGCTTTATCCCAATCACGAAAATTAATTTGTTGAAATTTTTCAATAGAACATCGCTGTATTGTACCAATATTTTGACTACAAAAAACAAAATTGTCCCATTTTTTTTTTTACCAATAGCCTAGTATAAAAATGTACAAATCTGTACAAATGTACCAATCGAGTGACACTGCCTAAAAAATGTATGCGATTTAAAAAAGAATTCAACAAATTACCGTTAAAATTTCGGGTTTTTTAATTAAAATCTGAGTATGCAGTTTTGTGGTGCATTGAATTCTAGTAGCATAAAGTACGAGTTTCAAATGGTTAGAAATTTCGATTGATTTTTTAGAATTTTTAAAAAGTTCGAAATTTGCACGAAAATTTGTTGAATTTTTTTTTATTTTGCACAAATTTGGAAACTTGGATTTACACGGGTTTTGTTATAGAATGAATTATATTTTTTTTAAATATAACATAGGTTCAATAACAACAAAAATAATACATTAAAACTTGGCAAAAAGTGGTTCGGCTATAATTTTTTTACTACTGCACATTAGGTCAAATGATTACTTTTTCTGTGCGAAATTAATAGCAGCTACAATATAGCTCTTTTTTAATGTAAAATTATGACAACCGTTAAAAAAATTGTAAAGTCAGTAAATAAAATGTGAAAACATGACTTAGCTTTCGGAAGACAGACTTTTCCGCGCAATGTTTTTTATGTTCAAATGATGAGTATATGTGTTTAAGTAGTACTCGAAAACATTGTCCCATTAGCTTGGTTTTGACTAGGGCCTTCGATTTCTGCTCGCACATTCTCGAGCATTTCGATACCCGGGAAATCGAGTAATCGAGTTCTCGACACAATCTCGGGTATCGCCATTCTCACGAGAAATTTCGAGACATACGTATGTAAGAGCATATTGAACGTATTAAAAACAAAATAAAAAAATGTATGTGTAAATGTTAAATATTCTATTGTCTAAAAAAAAAACGTCTGTGCGTATAAGAAGAATTTAGTTCGATGTATATGCTGTGTATGTATGTATGTATGTGCATAATTGGCGTTTGATGGCTGCAGCAAAGAAAGTGAGTAAAAGTAATTAATGGATTACTGTAAGTTCCTCCATACGGTTGGACAATACAGACCTCACAGGAAAATACCATGCGCATGGTTGATTCTCTGGTGAGCTACGAGTATTGCGCTTGAAAGAAATTCAACAGTTCGGTGTTTAAATACCCTAAACTAAATACGCTGCCTTAAATTCATCATCGAGAAGTTCGCGAGTATAACGAGTTTTTTCTATACACGATAATCTCGTGAGAAAGCGAACCTCGCGAGAAATTGCTTCTCTAACAATCTCGGAAAATCGAACCTCTAGTTTTGACACAAGTTATTTTCTTACTATACTCAACCCCCTCCCCCTTTAAATGAGCTACATAATAAAATAAGTATGTTCATATGTACATAAATGATTTCATCTAGCCATTAATTATGGCATTATCGAAATTCGTTAATTAAAAAAAATTACTACATGTCTCGCAGATACGCCTTGAGGAGAGATTCGTAAGGCAGTTAGTCTTCATAAAACACTTCAATTTCACTTAAGCTTTCAGTATTCCCCAATTCTCCACCGATATTATTTATACAGTACAGCGAAATTTCTTTACTACTTCAATGAGGAAGGAATCCGAATCCCTATGAAACCAAATAATAGAGGAGCACTTACCACGTAGAAATTACTCTAAGTGGTATTTTTTCCGAATGGTATCTTATTATCTATATAACTACATAAAATTATAGCCGTTTGCGTTGTTCTGAGAGATGAGCAAAATAAATTAAAGCTTGTAAAATTAGGGGTGCAGGTAAACGTAATACTTTCTTTCATAATTGATAATACATCGTTGCATAATTTTTAAGGCACACATTTACCAAAAACCGTTGATAACCTCCTGAAAAGAATACGAACGTTTTTGAAACTAATTTGGGAAAGCTCTACACAGTGGTCTTGAAGCAACCATAGCTATGACTAAAATGCCAACCAAAACGGCTTACATAACTGTCTTTGTACATAATCATAGATCAAAATTTCGTTGAAAATAAAATTCCATCTGCTCCTATGCTTAAAATATTATAAAATGTTGATCTAGAACTTTCCAAATCTAGTTATATAATCGCGAAGGTCTATGGTAATATAATTATAACACTTTCTTACGTGATAAGCATAAAATATTTTAACTTAGTTATTCAAGAGATAATATTACATAATTGCATATTTTAATAATTCTTATTGCATAAATTTTATAAATTTACAAAGACAATATAAAATATTATTTTATATAAATTCATATGTGTTTTGATGAAAATTCAACGACAGTTTTTTTTTTTTAATTGATTATATATTTAGGGTCGTCAATCGAATTAACTTTATAATTAAGCCAAAATCTTAAAAATACGCCATGAATGGATTCTCCAGCTTGCTCCGACCACATTCCGAAGCCGTCGTTGCCTAAAAAATGCAGACTATGTTCCAAATGATTTAGAAGCACGTGAATTTTTAATGTTTCCGACATTTCTGTGCTTCGGAAGGCTTTAGCGAGTTTACTTACATGATTTTTTAATTCTGACCCAACTGACAAAGCAGTCAACCCATTGGTGGAGTTTTTTTCACTCAATACATTTAAGGTATGTGCTCTCCCTGGTATAACTTTTGGATGGCTGGTTGCCCGAGCAGTGAGCCAGATATAACAAGAGCATGAACTTGTTCTTGTTTCTTTTGTCGAATCTTCATAGTTAGGCATGTTTGGAAGAGGCCGCGTTGCATTTGGTATATCCATATCTCGGTCACAGAGAACCCTACGACATGTACCACAAATGCCTAATGGGAACTTCGAATTGGTCAATCTAAAATTTTCACTAACGTATTTTTTAATAAGACACACCAATTTTCCGGTTATATTAAATTCTGAAGGTTTTGACGATCCGAATTTAATCTTTCTCCCACAAGGCGCGCACACTTTAAATCTGTTCTCTTCGTGATTACACTTATGTTGCGGATGACTTATAGAAGACATGATGTGCAATCAAATAGCTTACACCAGAAATATTATCATCGAGAAAAATACTATCTGTTTTTCTTTTACACTAATATACAAAACGATAACTTTAGAATACTCTGTTGAACAAGAAATACTAACAATTGCAGTTAAATTTTTTCCAAATTTTCATTTGACAATATTTTAGGCATAGGAGCAGATATGATTTTAATTCCAACTGCATATTGGTGTATGGGTGCCTTCCAAAACAGGTATGCAAGCAGTTTTGGTTGGCATTTTAGTCATACCTATCATTGTTTCAAGACCACTGTGTCTAGTCACCTTGGGCAAAAAATTTCGAAATAGCAATGTGTAGATTCTCTCAAAGATTTGCCTTTTTGCGAAGGCTTTTCATCAATAGTCTTTGCAAATCGGCGCGAGTGTCTTTGTAACTTAGCCATGGTTACGCTACAGGAGATAACATGTAATCCAAATTGAGGCTGCTACTTTTCTGCTCCACTTTCACTATTTATCACCATTAAAATAGGCTATTTACCACCAACAATGCAAGCAAATTTTGACAGCTGCTTTTGTTGCATAGCGCCACTTGCGGATACTAAAATTTTGGCTAATCTATTTTTAGCGAAAAGCGGATAAAATCTAAACTTTCGCATTTTAGCATATTTTAGCGGAGGGGGGCTTCCATTCCACACTCAAACGAAGCAACTGAGAGGATCTTGAGTATAAAGTTTGCTTCCTGGCGGAAAGAACTTCTAATTAAAATTATTTAAAGTGAACTTCATATTAAAAGTATTCTTAAAATGAAATGTATAGAATTCTTTGACTATTTAAACACTGAAGATGGAAATAATCTCATTATTGCTATTCTAAAATGTCATAAATATAAAATAATTTATTGGCTTCTGTGTACAATGATGTGTACACTCATGTTAAAATGAATTTCAATTTTATTTTTATGAACTATATTTTACTTATGTATATATCAAAATATTGTTAAAAACAAGTAGT